AACTTAACTTGGATAAAAAGTGACTTGGAAGACAAGTCATCCGCTAGAGTTAGAGTAGGATTCAACTTGTGCAAGTAGAATCCTACACGTTTTTGGAGAAGACTTTTGGCCAAAAACTAGTCTACTTAAGGAAGACTAATTTCACCCAATAACTCACTTTTTAGAGTTGTATTGTTCTTGTCCACTCAAAACAAATTCGTCCAAGGTTTTACTAGGCATATAGCAGAAGACTGCAGCTCTGGATTCTAGCTGTGTGGAGGATTTGTGCATTGATTTCAAGAGGTTAGTGCTTCTAATCTTGCAATTATAGCATTGTCTAGTTTACATGTATTTGATGCCTGGATTGTTTGCTTGCTTCCGCTGCGCATGTTCTAACAATTGATATTAGACGTCGTCTTACATCTAACTAGATAATGTAATACAACATGAATAGAGTAATATTAAAACGTATTGTTTAATGATACATGTTTGGTATGATTATTCTATGTCAAAAACGTGATTGTATTTATTAGTATTTTAATTCTGAAATTATGAATTAATTTATATATGCATAAACAGTGGTGTTATATTTAATAACAATCTGTTTAATTATATTTTTGATGAATAGCAATGTTGGTTTTAATAAAAACGTGACTGTTTTTCAGAGTACTATTAAATCTGTAATTATGGATTAATACATATATGCATAAACAGTGGATTGATACTATTAATTTGTTTTAGTTACGTTTTTTTATCCATAATCACAGTGTTATATTAATAAAAATGTGTCTGTTTGGAATGCTATTAGTTCTGAAATTATGGATTAATATACGAATTATGAACAATAGCGTTTGGAACGGTGAAAAGCATTCCACAATTCTGTTTGAACACGTCTTTATTAAATAATAATAAAAATATTATTTTGAGTTCTGAAATCGTATTTTAACATACATCAGTATATTATGTGATTTGAATCAGTCAAAATAATTAAAACCCTTAAAAACGCCAAAAACAGAATTCTACGAATAGGTCATGAATTTGAAATTCTAAAATTCTGTCGAACTCCGATTGACCTAAAATTTTGCAGGTTCATCGGAAATGGCCTAGTGAGCAATACACATCAGCTTCGCTCATGACGTACGTCATTTTTTGGGCATTCGGGGGTCGTTTAGATGGGTTTTTGGCCATTTTTCTATTTTCTGGAAATTTTATTTATAAAAGAAGTTTTTTAAAAAAGAAATCAGTGATGGTAGGGTTCAATTCTCATGGTTTCAATCATGTTTTACAGTAATATAATGAATTTATATGTTGACATAGGTCTTCTTCCACATCGGATAAGTTCATTATAGATGATTACTATAGTTTTGATTCTAGTTATTTGATTACTTGTATTAACTCTCCAACTGAGTTACATGTTGATTCAATGAAACTAGAGTTTATAAAAGTGATATTTACCTATCTTAAATTAACAGTTTACTCTCCATCTAAGTTGGTCCTGTTTTAATTTATGGGGTAAATATCTTACATAACTCATATATTTTGCATGAATAGTTAAGTTTCCCTAACGAATCTAACTATTCAATGAGCATGGTTATATGTGTAATGTGCTATTTTTGAATTTAATTATTCTAAATACATAACTAATGATCTATTTAATGTGAATATCTCTCAGATTAATCATGTCTTCATACAACCCACGTACCTCAATTTTGAACCAAAACAAGTTAGAAGGACCGAATTAAGTTGACTGGAAAAGAAATCTTGATATTGTCCTAACTGTTGAAGGTTACAAATTTGTAATCACTGATGAATGCCCAGAAAAAACTGAAAATGCTACTGATGATCAGGTTAAGGCCTATGATAAATGGTTCAAGGCTGATTAGATGGCGCGATGTTACATTCTTACCTCTATGGCGAATGTTTTGCAACATCAGTCTATGGGGTCTACTTACGACATGCTTGAAAGTCTCAAAGAAATGTTCAGTGAGAAAAATTGTGCGGCTAAGCAGACTGCCATGAAAGTCCTTTTGAACACCAAGATGGCTGAAGGATCATCGGTCAGGTACCATGTTCTGAAGATGATGAGTCTTCTGAATGAACTGGAGGTCCTTGGAGCTGTGATTGATAAGGAATCTCAAGTTGAGATGGTCTTACAGACTCTGCCTGACAGTTTTCAACAATTTCGCTTGAACTATAATATGAACAAAATGGATTTGTCACTGGCAAAATTGTTGAATGAGCTGCAAGCGGCAGAATCTATTATGAAACAGCAAGCTCCAGTTGTGGCACTCAATGTTGAGAAAGCTTCAGTTTCTTAGTCGAAAGGCGGTAAAAAAAATAAGAAGGCTCAAAATGTCTTGGCAACTGGAGGTGCGGCTGGTGTGAAAAAACCCAAAGGAAAGTGCTATCATTGCAAGCAACCTGGGCATCATAAAAAGCAATGCCCTACCTATCTGGCAAAGTTGAATAAGCAAGGTAATTCAAATTTACATGTCGTTGAAACTTGTTTAGCGGCTGTCTCTACCATGTTTTGGTGTGTAGATTCAGGAGCTACTAATCATATCTGCACTACTTTACAAGGGTTTCAGGAAACGCGACGGCTAAGTGAGAATGAAATTTGTATTTTTTAAGCCAATGGCGAGCCAGCACCAGCTTTAGCATTAGGAGATATTAGAGTTTCGTTTAGTAGTGATAGAGTTTTAGTTTTGAAAGATGTTCTCTATATACCTTCTATTTGAAGGAATTTGATTTCGGTTTCGAAAATAATGGATGCTGGTTATAATGTTTATTTTGCTAATAACTCTGCTATTATTAAGTTTAATAAACGTTTTATTTATATTGCTGCTAGAGTACATGACCTTCTCATTCTTGATATATCTCCTCCTCATGTGCTACAACAACCAAAAGAATTAAACAACATTAATCTGCCACATAAAAGAAAACGTATTTCTGAATTGAGCCAAACTTATTGTCTAGATCATAGAAATCTAATCTCTGATGGACATTTAAGTTCATTGAAAGTGAAGTCACTGCCAACATGCGGATCCTGTTTAGAAGGTAAAATGACCAAGAGACATTTTCCCTCAAAAGGAAATAGAGCCATCAATAAGTTAGAATTAATTCACTATGATTTGTGTGGCCCTATGAATATACAAGCAAGGGGTGGTTTTGAGTATTTTGTGACTTTCACAGATGATTACTCAAAATATGGATACATTTATCTGTTGCCCCGTAAGTCTGAATGCTTTAAGAAATTCAAGGAATTTAAGACGGAAACGGAGAAACGACATGATAAATATATCAAAATATTGCGATCTGATCGTGGTGGTGAATACCTTTCTGCGTAATTCATTAAATACTTATCAGATTCTGGAATTACATCTCAATTATCTGTTCCAGGAACACCACAACAAAATGGTAAGGCAGAAAGAAGAAATAAGACCTTTATGGAGATGGTTAGATCAATGTTAAGTTATTCCGATTTGACTTCTTCCTTTTGGGGATATGCTTTAGAAACAAAATATTACATTCTAAATTTGGTTCCTTCAAAGTCAGTACCTTCAACTCTAGCAGAATTGTGGACTGTGTACAAGCCAAGTTTACGACACATTCAGATTTGGGGTTGTCCAGCACATGTACTGAAAGGGAAAATAGATAAATTGGAATCGAGGACAAAAGTATGCATTTTTATTGGATATCCAAAAGGAACTAAATGCGGTTTATTTTATTGTCCCAAAGAAAAGAAGGTAATTGTTATGACAAATGCCAGATTTTTAGAAGAGGACTATTTAATGAACCATATTCCTAGAAGTAAACTAGTTTTACAGGAATTAAGTAATGGAGTAACCAATGACTCATCTATGGAACGTATCCCGGAAGCGAGTATTGACATACCACTGCATTATCGTAGTGGGAGAAATGCCAATAGGCAGCAGAATGCACAAGAGCAATTTTATGACATCTCACTACCCCAAAGTAGTGGGAATAATGTTGAGCAACCTCAGATTGTTGAGCAACCTAAAATTTTTCTGCAGCATAATGATATCCAAACACCGCAAGGTATGGAGGATAACATTGCCACTTCAGTTCCAAAAAATGATGTTTTAATTCAACAACAAAATACTGCACCTGTAGTGACTAGTCGCGGTGGGAGAATTATAAGAAAATCTCTCCGTTTTGCGTTCTTGGGAGAATCTTATGATAGAATCCCTGAAGAGCCCAACATGGAACCTATTAATTACGACGAAGCACTACAGGATACAGATGCTGATAAATGGGTTGCTGCTATGAAATCTAAAATGGAGTCCATGTACTCCAATCAAGTCTAGGATCTTGTAAAACCACTTACTGGAGTCAAGCCCATTAGTTGTAGATGGGTCTATAAGAAAAAGAGAGGAATGGATGGAAAAGTACAAACTTTTAAAGCTAGGCTTGTTACAAAAGGGTTTACTCAAAAGAAGGGATCGATTATGAGGAAACCTTTTCGCCAGTAGCCATGCTTAAATCCATTAGGATTCTCTTATCCATTTTTGCTCATTACGATTATGAGATTTGGCAAATGGATGTCAAGATGACTTTTCTAAATGGAAGTCTTGATGAGTGCATCTATATGGCACAACTAGTTGGTTTCATAAAAAGTAGCAATGAGCACATGTTGTGTAAATTAAAGAAATCTATTTATGGATTGAAACAAGCTTCTAGAGCATGGAACACAGTTTTGACACATCGATTAAAACCTTCGGTTTTGATCAATGTGAAAATGAGTCTTGTGTCTATAAGAAGTGGGATGGAGATAAAGTTACATTTTTGATTTTGTACGTAGATGATATTTTGCTCATAGGAAATAATGTGAGTATGTTGAATTCAGCAAAGGAATGGTTGTCCTCACGTTTCGATATGAAAGACTTGGGACATGCGACACATATCCTTGGGATCAAGCTTATGTGAGATCGCAAGCGAAGGATATTAGGCTTATCCCAAGCACTTTATATTGATACTATTCTCACCAGGTTTAGCATGCAAGATTCCAAGAAAGGCTTTCTCCCTTTTAGACATGGAATCTCTCTGTTGAAAGATCAGTCCCCAAAAATAACTGATGAGATAAAAAAGATGAAGGCGGTCCCTTATGCTTCTGCTGTAGGGAGTCTCATGTATGCTATGCTATGTACTAGACCTGATATCTGCTTTGCTGTTGGCATGGTTAGTAGATTTCAGTCTAACCCTGGACAAGAACACTGGACTGTCGTTAAGCATATAATCAAGTATTTGAAAAGGACTAGGGATTATATGTTAGTGTATCACTCAAGTGATCTTATACCCATTGGCTATACTGATTTAGATTTTCAGTCAGATAGTGATTCTAGAGAATCTACCTCAAGGTATGTTTTTACCTTAGGAGGTGGAACCATAAGTTGAAGGAGCATCAAGCAATCATGTGTTGCTGATTACACCATGGAAGCTGAATATGTGGCTGCATTTGAGGCAACTAAAGAGGCTGTTTGGCTCAGGAACTTTCTAAAAGAGCTTAATGTAGTTCCTTCGGTTCAAGCACCGATTGTACTTTATTGTGATAATAGTGGTGTAGTTGCAAACTCGCAGGAACCAAGAATCCATAAAAGGAGTAAGCATATTGAGCGTAAATATCACTTAATTCGGGACATAACTCAGAGAGGTGATGCAGGAGTGTTGAAGATTGCATCGGAGGACAATTTGGCAGACCCGTTTACAAAGATCTTGACACAGAAGATTTTTGACAACCATGTAGAAGGAATGGGTATTAGAGTAGTAGACGCATGGTTATGAGCCTAAGTGGGAGATTGTTCGGATATACTATTAACCATGCGGTTTAGACATAGTATTTTATTTTATTCTTTATGGAATAATTATTTATTTAATTTATTCAATTCAATAAAGTACTATTTTAAATAGATCATTCGTTACATGTGTGTCCTTTTAGTTATGTAGTAGACAATTTAGTGTATGGAGTCTTAGCTCATGCACAGAAGATTAAATTATCGGTTCACATAATTAATAAACTATATTCACAATCAAAGATATTATTGGACAAAATATCTTGATGATTGTAGCACAAGATTATGGTATAATTTATCTTAATTATGGGAGTGATTTTACTCCGACTTCTTGTGCTAGTATACTTAGTGTATATTGAACGGACCAAGTAGAGAAAAGATATTTTTGTATTGAATATATATAAAATATTTTTTCTAATTCATTAAATGAGCTTATACTCCTAATCTCGATATAATTATTATGATCAATATAATTTATTTATTGTTTTGATTTATCAAAAGGTACGACTCTATTCAGAGTTAGTATATGCCTAATAGATTGGACAATAACGAATAACATTTCTAAAATAATAATTAGTTGATAGAATCCATGACTTGTTTTGAGTTTGACGATACCCCTTTATGTGAGCTTATAAGTTTTCATGTGAAAACCCGGCCGGTGGATTTTGTATCAGTCACATGAAATAATTTAAGCGGAATTATAAAGGATTTAATTAGTTGATTAAATTAAATTTTCAGTAATTTAATTTAATTAAATGATATTTGAGATCTTAACACGGGGAGTTAAAATAAGTGTTACTGAATTTTTGAAATTCATATTGAGGAGTTCAATTGCAGTTTTTTTGGTGGAATAAACTGTAATTAATTATAGTAAGAATTAATTCATGATAATTTCGAATTAATGCTATAATTAGTAGCCTCTTATTATTTTCGTGGTCCCTGCTATACCTAGTAAAAACCTGAACTTAACTTGGATAAAAAGTGACTTGGAAGACAAGTCATCCGCTAGAGTTAGAGTAGGATTCTACTACACGTTTTTGGAGAAGGCTTTTGGCCAAAAACTAGTCTACTTAAGGAAGACTAATTTCACCCAATAACTCACTTTTTAGAGTTGTATTGTTCTTGTCCACTCAAAGCAAATTCGTCCAAGGTTTTATTAGCTATATAGCAGAAAACTGCAGCCCTGGATTCTAGCTGTGTGGAGGATTTGTGCAACGATTTCAAGAGGTTAGTGCTTCTAATCTAACAATTATAGCATTGTCTAGTTTACATGTATTTGATGTCTGGATTGTTTGCTTGCTTCCGCTGCACATGTTCTAACAGCAACACCTGTCCCCCATCCAATTCCTATTACCCTTTAAGGCATGCGAGGGCGGAGGGAGAGTAAAAGCTATGAGTTCAGTCGAACCTACTAGTTTTGGTCCAAATCATAGATTTATCTTAAGAAATTCATAGAATATATATAAATTATTAATTTAAATTTTAGTAACTTAAAAAATTTAAGAATCTCGATCCCATATATAAGCTTTAAATCTTAGCTGCTTCTGAATGCATGGACCTTTTTCATATTAGATCTGTTCGCTTGGAACTCAAGTTGCAGTAAGATACAGTTTAATTATAAACAACAAATGTACATGCATAGCTTGTATATTATATTTTCCCTCTATAGAAGAAATATATAGCACGTGATTTTTTTTTTAACAAATTTGAGTCAAATTCAGAATTTAAAGTTGGTAAATACATTTATATGTTCTTAAAATATTAATATACAATTATACGCACATACATAAACATATATAATGCGATTTAACGTTCAAAATAATATATGAATTCACTTGCACTTAGCCTTTAGTCAGAATAGCGTGACTTCTCTTGTTTCCCATATAAGAGAAGTGTGCCTGAAAACTCAAAAGCGAGACCTACTTTCCGTTAATTCATAGCGGGTTTATTACACACCGAGAGGTCAATCACATTCCTTCAAATTCTCGAATATTTAACTTCCACACATAGATAGTGAAAATTTTTCTCACATATTGGCAGATCATTCAAAAGATATCCACAAATAAATATCAATAATAAGTCAAAGAAGTAATTTAAAAAATAAGACAAACAACCTACTATAATAGGTAAAATTACATTGGTATTAAATAACAAATATCACCGTTAGTCTATACAAGTTAAATGCAATTATTATTCCATTGCCAAACCAAATTGAGTTACAATGCCACAATTGTTCAATGACACTCTAATAACTAAAATGTACGTATATGTTCATATTAAAATTCTCAACGATCCTTTTTGATACATAAGGGCAACAATGGCAATGATGCGGCTATGATCTTGCCATTTTGCAGGTAACTAAAAATATAATACAGGAAGAAGAGAGGATAATATCACACCACTATATATAAGCCAGAAATATAAGTTGTTCATTATTTGATTTACATGTATCTTTGGTTGGAGGAGTGGAGATCAATCTCTTGGGTCCAAGCGGATCGGTCTTGGATGTGCAAATACCAGTAGGTCTGAGCCAGCGCATCTGGGTCCATCCACCCCTCCCTCGCCCCTCCACCGGTTTGTTGGTGCTGTTGTTCCCCAACCAACAAACTCTGCTGCGAACTTGATGCTATTGCCCCCCTGCATATTACAATTTATATTACATCATTTGAAGACTCCATCAGTCATGTTTCTTTTGGAGGTTAAGGTCCATGTCCCCTTCCTTTTTGTAATTTTTTTCATGTGAGTAGAAATGTTAAGGGTTGAGCCTAACCCCAACACCAACGGCACTAGCCTTGGTGATGGATTAATATTAAAAAAAAAATTATATTACCGCAAAGCTTTTAAGTTTTATGCATTATTGACCTAAAAGTTATTCACGACGTAATCAGGTTCCATGTAATTAGTAAATACAAATAAACATTTATGATAAGCATTATTGATAACTGAATCCATCACTGAATGCATTAAATGATAAATTTATGCCTCGTTGAAGGCCAAAAGGCAAAATGAAATCCAAAAAGATATCCTAACTTTGCCTGGAATGAGTGGACATTGTTATAAAGGTAAATACAGCTAAAATATATTGTGGAATATAGAATCTTGGACAGGCAGTTTGAGAAATTCAAGAGGAAACTATATATATATATATATATATATNCCCACAGCCTGACATTTTTTCTCTTTAGTATCATCAAATTGAGTTGTAGATTTAAAGTGCAACAAAACGAAAACAATAAAAGGAAATCAACCCCAGAAAATTATCACATACATAACTCAGAATAACCGGCAATGCCACTAAGAGAAGCTGAACAACCAGTAAAAAGAATTGTCCCTCTTCCTCTTTCTACCATACCTGCAAGTACCTGAGACACGTTGGAAGTCAACTCAAATATTCCTATTAGGTTAGGCAATGCACCACGAATTAACCCGACTAATCCAACCAAACCAATGGCAGTGAATATTGAGTTTAATTGTATACATTAAGAGTGTAAAATAATTCTACACTATTAGGTTACTTAAAAGAAAATTACTAGTAATTATTTATAATAAGTGTGCTTAGTGATATGAAAATAAAATATTTCACCTACTACAACAAATTAAGATACACTGATAGAACAAAAAAACTTTTACACAAATCAATACATACAAATTAATTACATGTTGGTATTTAAAAATTTGAGACCTGTTGAGCGCAGTGGAAGGCGCCGACGGAGGAGACGGCGAGAGATTTCTCAAAATGTTCTATTTTAATGTCTGTGAAGTTTGTGGGGTGCCAAGATATTGGCTGGTAGGCGTTGTAAACCAACACTTCCACAAAGCCCAGTGATAGAACTCCCTCAAATGCTTCTCTTATGCTTCGGGAATCGGAACAGTCTATCCTGATGGCAAAGACCTGAGATTTTTCTTCTCTCGCTATCTCATCTGCAAATCTTGATAATCTACCTGTTGGAATAAACAGCATAAAATATAACTCTAGTAAATTGCACTTGTATCATCTATACATATTGCTTTATCGCTAAATAGAGCTTCATTCTTGTTTAATTATACCAAGAAACAGAAGCGAATCAACGATTTAATTTGAGTCACTAAACGAGCGTGATCTAGTTATATGTAGCCATTTTAAACTACTTTAATCACACATATATAATTCGAAGTAAAAATAATGAGTTCAGTTGAACTCCCAAATTACCTCTCGAGAGATCGTCTCTGCCAAAAGATGTAAGAAAGAGAGGTTGATACTTGATAGAGATCACTAACCTAAGTCACGGGCGAGGATGGCAACAGTATAGCCTTCGTGGGCGAACTTGCGGGCAATAGAGCGGCCGAGTTTTGGCCCCACACCAACAATGGCAGCAATATTCCCTCTGGATGAGGCTGAACTCGCCATGCTCCGCATCTTCTAATTTTGGCCCTCCGTTTTGTTTCAATTTTATTGAATGTCCCAAAGGTATCTATTTTCACTCTGTATTTGTGTACTTAGATTAATAAAAACACTAGACCCACAACGTACGAAACAGCAAAATCAAATGCAGCTACTTGTTCTTAATCAATCCAACTTCTCGATCGCTTGCTGCCTCCTACGGAAGAGGCAATAGTGAACAAGAACTGTAGGATTAATTTACAGAGTTTCTACATATATATGCAAGCGATCATCGGATGAATATTTATGTGGCGTATACATATACCTCTTTGGCAGTCTCATAGCTAGTGTAGTACACTACTCCCTCCCTCTGTTCACTTTCATTTACCGCCATTTGACTTTTCATGTCCTTTAAAAAATAATAAATGAAGTATATAGATTATCATGATATTCATATTAATTGATGCATATTTTATTGAATTTGAGAAAATAATTTGAAATGAGTAATAAATAATATGGGTATAGCAGGAAAAAAATTTTTGTCTTCTCTTAATATGCATAAAGTGACAAGTAAAAATAAAAATTTATTTTTAGTATAATACGTAGTGAGGTATGTACAAGAATATACTGCACGGTGCTCACTGCACAGCTCACTCGCTAATGATTGCGCCTACTGACAAGTTTGAATAGTACTTATTAATTAATAACTGCCGCATGGTCCCATTCTAAATTCATTACAACAGTATAAACTGGAAAACCTCCAAAGGTAGTTATTACATGGAACTATTGAATTTACCCAAGCTTCATTAGGTTTTATAGAAAGATTAGAGAGCCAATAATGGATTCATACATTATCTTCCTAAATTTTGTTTTTGTACACTTCTACAATTCTATGTAATGTATAGTTAATTATATATATACTAATGATGCTTATTTCAAGGAGTGTTAATAAAAATCCTAAAAATTAAAATAATGACAAAAAATTATGATTTGTAAATTGAGAAAGTAAAAAAATGTAGATATTAGAAAGACCACTTTCTCTTTGCCCTTGCCACAATAATTTGAAACTTTTCTGAAACTTTTAGTACATTATCCTCCCATTTAAAGCATGTTTTTATGAGATACATTTCGTTGAGTAACTACAACATTACATTAGAGATTAAAACAGAATTTAAGGAAGAAAATTAGCAAGTATTCACGTAATATTTGAATTGAAAAACTGATTTCGTTGAAATCCTAAAAGCAGAAAAATAATTATTGTATGGCAGTTGATCATGCTCTTCACCCATTGTACAAAATCGAACTTTCAAAATTATAAAAGCATTAGTTAGCGCATTAGACTTTAAAGAAGATAAGGAACCAAAACTAATTTCATTTCCTAACTATAAAAAATATAATTACGATCTAATCTACAATTTTATTTTATTTTCCCTCATGCTATTACTAAGGCGAGACTTCTTATCCTTCTAAATTGTTAGTACATTTGGATCCCCTCTAAAATAGCTATTACGAGTTCACATCTATAATAAAAACAAAATCTTACTCGCTTCATATTATCAAACAAACCTGACCTACTGGCGACCTTCTTAGAAGTTCTTATTGTCTCACACTCATTTTAGTCAAATGATAATAATTTTTTTATACTCAATCAAAATATTCACAAAACTTACCATATAAAAAGAACTAATAATTCAACCATTCTCTCTAAATGATTTCCTCATTGTAAATCAGAATAGTATTGAAGTTAATTAGTTAAGTAATGAGTGATGTCTTATTTTATTTAAATTGAATTTAATTTATATATACTTAGATACTGTAGAAAAATTTACTCTATAAATGTCATGCAACTTATTGTAACATATTATTTTGTTAAATTATGACATTATATGCCTTGTTAATTACCTTCTATATGGTTAATTGGTTTAAATTTCTTGGCAAGACCTTCACAATGCAAGTCAAGCTTTAAGACAATGGTGTGATAGAGTTGTCATTCTTTATTTTTCCAAGGAAGTCACTACCAAACTTGTTCTCCTGGAATCATTCTTCTTTTCTCCTCCTTATTTGCTTTTCCTTCTTTTGTTTGTTTTTTCAAAACCAAAAGGAAAAAACGAATCTTTGAGTATTATGAACCAAATGAAAACAAACTAAAATATTGAGAAAGAGTTCAGAAAGTGTTGGAGACAGACATGTTATGAATGTATTTAAAGAATTATGAGTATTAGAAGAGAAGTAGATTAAGACAGAGAATAAAATCTAAAGTAAATTGGAAAAAAGATTTAGTCGTGTAAGATTAAATGCAATGACCCAACCGGTCATTTTAACTTGTAGAACCCCGTTTCCTAAAATAAAAATTTTCGTATGTGCTTTTAATGATTATTGACTTGCGGGGATGGTTGGTTTGGGATTTGGAAGTGTTTGGGTTGAAATCGGAACACTTGGTTCTTTAAGTTGGCTTTAAATGGCCAAGTTTGACTTCGGTCAACATTTTGAGAAAACGATCCCGGAATCGGTATTTGACGGTTCCAATAGGTTCGTATGATGATTTTGGACTTGGGCGTACATCCGAATCGGATTTTGGATAATCCGGGAGCGTTTTAACGCTTAATAGTAAAAATCAACTATTTTAAGGTTTAAAATTCTTTAAATTTGGTTTGGAGTAGATTTTTGAGTAATTGAAGTTCGGTTGAAATTTTGAGTTGGGGAATAGTTCCGTTTAGTGATTTAAGACTTGCACGCAAAATTTCGTATCATTCCGAGTAGTTTAAGTATATTTCGGCTCATTGGAAGTAAATTGAAGAACTTGAAATTTCTTAAGTTTGAATCAATTTGGTTTTAGGTATGATTCTTGGATTTGATGTTGTTTTACATGTTCCAAGAGTTCGAGCGAGTCCATTTTATGATCTCAAACTTGTTGGTATATTTGGACGGGGTTCCGGGGGCCCCGAGTATCAATCGGACGAGGCTCGGACCAAGTTGAAAGTTGGGAGCCAAAACTGAAGCTCCCAACTACTGTTAGAATCGCACCTGCGCTTGGCCAGCCGCAAGTGTGACATTCGCAGGTGCGGCAGTAGCTCGCAGGAGCGAACCTCGCAGATGCGAGTCCTTGTGCGCAGAAGCGGAAAAAGGGGATGGGGCAGTGGACCGCAGATGCGGAGGATTTGTGCACATGCGAACGCGCAGGTGCGAAAAAGGGTGCACAGAAGCGAACTTGGCCCAGGCGAGTGAAACTCGCACCTGCGAGAATTTTCCGTAGATGCGAAAGCCGCAGGTGCGGAAATTCCTGTTGGGCAGAATGGTTAAAAAGTCGGGGCTTAGACGTTTTGAGCCCATTTTCCTCCATTTCCGAGCGATTCAGAGCCTTTGAGAGGGGGATTTCAACTAGAAATTGGAAGGTAAGTTAATTCTACACCCCTTGAGTTAAATACATAGATTATGGGTAGATTATAACTACTAAATCTTAGAAATCAAAGGTTTAGATAAAAAACCTAGATTTTTATAAAAAATGAGATTTTAACTATGAAAATGGTTATAGAATTGGATAGAAATTATATAATTGAATTCTTGAGATTATGGGTAATGTTTTCATTCTAAAATTTCTCGGGTAAATTTTAGGAATATTACCATTTTAGATAGGGTAATTTATTTAATAGATGAATTTCGAATTATTGAACATTTATTAATTATTTTGTATGATATTTGGATAGCTTCGGATTTTTCGGCGCTGAATCGAGAATTTTACGTGACGCGGTAATCGAAAAGTGGACTTTGAGACAAGGTAAGTCTCTTGTCATCTTGTGAGGGAAAAATTACCTCATAGGGATTAAATTGAATAATTGTTGCTAATTGCGGGGGCNTGGGCCGAACGCCTCGGCAGAATAGATGCATCTATAAATCGTGCTGCACGTCTCTCGGCAGTGTACACGACACTCTGGATCGGGCCGTACGTCCTCGGCAGAAATTGTGCTTAATAATAATCACACGATACCTTAATAGTTTATTTCAGCTTGCGAAGCTAATTGATAAATTGGAGAATCCTTGAAATTTAATGAATTATCATGCCTACTTGTTAAGGAATTAATTGTTATTCCTATAAATGAGAGTAATTGATAAATTAGAAATTATTTGAATTAAAGGAATTTAATTAATATATTGAGAATTGTTGCATTTGAAGGAATTTGATGATTTCTGCTAGTTAAATAAACTATTATAAATTCTGTGAATCATGTTGATTTAGATATTCTAGTTGTATTTCAATTATTATTATTATTGACACATAGTGAGTGTCAAAGTCGGCCATCTCGTCTCTACCACTTCGAGATTAGGCTTGATACTTACTGGGTACACGTTGTTTACGTACTCATACTACACTTGCTGTACTTTTTGTGCAGGACCTGAGGCAAGTACTAGTGGGGGACCTATCGTCTTACACCCACGTTATCTAGGGGCATAGTGGTGAGGTGTCTTTCTGAGCCGTTCTGCAGCTACTAGTGTCCTTGTATTTTTTGTTCTGTCTATTTTTATTTCAGACAGTATTAGAGGTTTTGTATAATCTACTAAATGATCATACACTTGTGACACCAGGTCTTGGCACACACATTGGTAGAATTTGGTATTTATATGATTCTTGGATTTAAATTTTATCGATATATGTTTAATTTATTAGTTGGCTTGCCTAGCTATAGTGTTGGGCGCCATCACGGCCTATAGGTGAAATTGGGTTGTGACAACATGGTATCAGAGCACTAGGTTCACGTAGGTCTCACAAGTTATGAGCAGGCCTAATAGAGTCTTGTGGATCAGTACGGAGACGTCTATACTTATCTTTGAGAGGCTATAGGGTGTTAGGAAACTACCCTTCTTCATATTTCATTGTGCAATTAATGTAGTACTAAATATCCTTCTCTTATTCTCTCACAGATGGTGAGAACGCGCTCTGATGAGGTTCCAGACCAGGGAAGAGCTACTCCCCCAGTTGCTAGAGGCTGAGGGAGGGCTCCAGCCCATGGTAGAGGGCAAGGACGTCCCAGAACTGTTCCAGTTATGCCGCCAGTGGGTCTAACAGAGAACCCCATTGTTGAGGAACAGGATGAGGTGCATGTGGCAGAGCTAGCTCCGGTGGATTTCACATCTGCACCGGGATTTTAGGATGTCATGGGTCGTATGTTGTGGTTCATGGACAGTATGACTCAGGCAGGTTTATTTCCGGCAGACCCAGCCACATCTCGGGCGGGCGAGGGAGCACAGACCCCTATCACACAGGCTCATGGACATGCAACTGCTGTATATCAGACCTAG